AATAAATTAAGAAAGTTTTGTATATTTTATAAAAAAATAATATAAAATTAAATTAACTAAAAAATTTAGGCAAAATTAATCAATTTTGTACTGATTTCTAACAAGCAATTGCGAAAATTAATACAATTTAATAAAATTGGATATAGAAAAGTTTATATGTTTAGAAAAATTACAATTTAATTAAAATTTTTGTAAGAAATAAAAGAATATTAAATTTATATTAGAAATGTACGCAAAAATTAATCAATTTTGTAATGATTTCTAACAAGAAACTTGCGAAAAGTAATAGAATTGGATACAAAATGAAAAAAAAAATATAGAATTATTAAAGTTGGAACTAAATTTTAATATTCAAGAAATTTTATGATTCTTCATTTTAAGAGAAATTTATGCTAGAGAAAATAATATAAAAAAAATATTGAAAATTTATAATTATTGCAGTAATAACTTTGTGAATATTAATAAATTAAGAAAGTTCAGGAAATTGAAATCGGAATGTTAATTTCTTCAATCTTTGTTTTTATGTATTTTTTTTATAAATAAATGCATTAAAAAATGAACGTATCTTAAGAAGATTACGTGTGATCAATAATCGGTGCAGGAAACCAAACGGAATTCCTTTTTGGAATGATTATGAAAGTGCAGCGAAGTCTGGTCGGCGGAGACAAACGCGGAGAGGAAGAAAGAAGGAAAGAAAGAAGTGACTTTGAATGAAAGGAAAATCAATGGACAAAAGTTGGAATTTATCGCTCACGTTTGAAAACTGCGCGGAGGAAAATGAGTGGAGAACCATTAATTACGAACGAGATAAAATCACGCCGGATTAGCATGTACTCCACTCTTCATTATCATCATCATTTCTGTCCCGTTTGAAAAGACTAAGAGAAAAAGAGATGCTGAGAAGATGAAGAAAACAAAGATGAAGAAAAAAAAGAATTGGCGAGGCGGAGAGCGATAAATCTTTATAATTGAAGGATTTTTAAAATGATTCAATGGGGAAACTGACGGTCGCTGAAACAAACAATGGCAAATACATTAGAAACTGGTATAATAATTATTATGATTACACGACGAAAGTGTAGCTCACGATCGAAAATTTATGTGTATATATAGATATAAGGATTTCGTTACTAAATATATTTATAGGTTTACAAACGATGAAGGCGTTTCGACGAAGTTAAATTGGAACGATCGTCCAGTTTCCAAAAACGCCAAAAATTGTGGGTGTTTGAGGCCTCTTTTTTTTTTAGAAAAGATGAACCTGAGAGCAAGTATATAGACGCTAACTACACTCACGCCCAATAGAAAGCTCGACTTTCTTTTAAAATCAATTTTTTAGACACACTTATTTGTGTAGGCCAATCATTTTTAAACAATATTATCAATCACAAACACATTCATTTCAATATTATCATTTTATTATGTAAACTTGTTGACTTTCATTGATTTTCATAATAAAGTAATATCTCGTATAGTGCGGGTAATCAGACTGTTTGAAACCGAATTAGTTGTATAATCGTATAAAAACTACAAAAAAAAAGATACTTTTATAAACAATTAAAATTTAGTTTTTTTTAAACCGGACTATAGTGAATCCGGACTGATCGAAGCCGCACTATTCGATTTATTACTTCTTACTAATGTATGTATATAAAAATATATTGAAAGTACAAATTAAAGCAATTGTTTATAATTAATATTTAAATTTTAATTTTATGAGAGAAAGATCAATTAATTTAATTATATAAAGTTGTTGACTTTTATTGATTTTCATAATAAAGTAATATCTCGTATAGTGCGGGTAATCAGACTGTTTGAAACTGATCTAATTGTATAAACGTATAAAAACTACAAAAAAAAGATGCTTTTATAAACAATTAAAATTTAGTTTTTTTTTTAAACCGGAATATAGTGAATCCGGACTGATCGAAGCCGCACTATTCGATTTATTACTTCTTACTAATGTATGTATATAAAAATATATTGAAAATACAAATTAAAGCCATTGTTTATAATTAATATTTAAATTTTAATTAGAGAGAAAAAATAATTTCTGATTTTGTTATATAAATTGATAAATAAGTTATGCAACCACAGTATATATAAATTCTAACAAAATAAATCCGTCTATTCATTCATAAAATAGTAGAATAAATTATTCTTGGAAAAAATACTATTTTCGAGGAGTTTAAAGGAATGCAACAAAAAAATGCGTACGTGCACAAAACTATGAATGAAAATAATCGAACAATGAATGAAACGTAGTAATAAAAACGTAAAATAGCAGATGTGCACGAAATTAGGTCTAGACGGGAAGTTAAAGTATAATTTATTCCAAATACCAAATGCCAAACATATAAACAGACTGGAAAAAAACTGCATAGATTATTTTCGTGTCTGGAGTAATTCTTATTCGAATTCCAGCAGAATTTTCAGAAATTAAATTGTAATTATTTCTGTTAATATTATACAATAATAAATTAATATCTTTTAGACAGTTCTAAGTGATTTTCTTTATGAGATTTCTATGATATTTCTATAATTAGTAATTATGAGATTTCTAAGGCATTTCTATAAGATTTGCAAGTAATTTTTGTTGAGGTTTCTAAGGGATTTCTATGTTATTTCTATAATAATGATTATGAGATTTCTAAGGAATTTCTATCTTATTTATATAATTAGTAACTATGAGATTTCTAAGGAAATTCTATAAGATTAAGGATTAAGATTATTATTAAGGAATTTCTATAGGATTTGCAAGTTATTATTGATCAGGTTTCTAAGGGATTTCTATGATATTTCTATAATTAGTGATTATGAAATTTTGAAGGAAATTCTATAAGATTTACAAGTGTTTTTGGTGAGGTTTCTAAGAGATTTCTATAATTTGTAATTATGAGATTACAAAAGGAATTTCTATAAGATTTGCAAGTTAATTTTGATGTGGTTTGTAAGGGATTTCTATAATTAGTGATTATGAAATTTTTAAGGAATTTCTATAAGATTTGCAAGTGATTCTTGGTGACGTTTCTAAGAAATTTCTATGATATTTCTATAGTTAGTGATTATGAGATTACTAAGGAATTTCTTTAAGATTTGCAAGTTATTATTGATGAGGTTTCTAAGTGATTTCTATGTTATTTCTATAATTAGTAACTATGAGATTTCTAAGGAAATTCTATAAGATTTGCAAGTTATTACTAAAAAATTTCTATAAGATTTGCAAGTTATTATTGATGAGGTTTCTATGTGATTTCTATGTTATTTCTATAATTAGTGATTATAAAATTTTAAAGGAATTTCTATGTTATTTCTATAATTAGTAACTATGAAATTTCTAAGAAAATTCTATAATATTTTCAAGTGATTTTTGTTGAGGTTTCTAAGGGATTTTTATGATATTTCTATAATTAGTGATTATGAGATTTCTAAGGACATTCTATAAGATTTGCAAGTTATTACTAAGGCATTTCTATAGAATTTTCAAGTTATTATTGACCAGGATTTTAAGGGATTTCTATGATATTTCTATAATTAGTAATTATGAGATTTCTAAGGAATTTCTATAAGATTTGCAAGTGATTTTTTAAGGTATTCCTATGATATTTCTATAATTAGTGATTATGAGATTTTCAAGGAATTTCTATGTTATTTCTATAATTGGTAACTATGAAATTTCTAAGAAAATTCTATAAGATTTGCAAGTGATTTTTTTTGAGGTTTCTAAGGGATTTTTATGATATTTCTATAATTAGTGATTATGAGATTTCTAAGGACATTCTATAGGATTTTCAAGTTATTATTGATCAGGTTTTTAAAAGATTTCTATGAGATTTCTAAATTTCTATAAGATTTGCAAGTGATTTTTTATGAGGTTTTTTAAGGTATTCCAATGATATTTCTATAATTAGTGATTATGAGATTTCCAAGTGAGATTTCTATATAAAATTCTCAATTCCATCTTGATGGACATTAAGATTGTCGTGAAAAAAAAATTACATAATTTATAGTGAAAATAAAAGGAAGATTGTAAATACTTAGTAAATTGTGTCCTGGACGAAGGATCGTGACGAAGGATAATAATAATTAAAATTGCCTCGAAATATTCGTGCGAAGTCGTTGCTTCGCTCGAACTGGCTGGCAATGTAGACGGTGTTAATTGTTTAAGGCTCTGAACGCGTCGACAAGTGTTATTTATCGTTTGTTTGCTAATGTTACGATTGCATAAATCCCGTCAGGACTCTTATGATTAATTGCCTCTCGGATAGATGCAAACCATTTGCGTTACTGTTTACTTGCCTTCTATATATTTTTTTTTCCCCACTCATTATTTATTTTCGTACACCTTGTTGTTCTCTACGATAATTGACTTCCTGTTAAATTATTTTAAAGAATTAATTACCTTTCGTTATTACGAATTTGCGATCCGCAACGCCCATATCTGCCTCGTTATTAATTACACAATCTGTAGGTTAATTGAAAACGCCGACATTGACCGTGATCAATCAGAAATTATTGAACATTCTTTTTTCCTTCTTCTTCTACTTCTACTAACTTCGAGTAAAGTGGAATGATTTCATCAGTTTCGATTTGTTTCGGTTCTATTGGAGTTAGACCAGTTTTGGTTGTGTTAGGTAAGTATATAGGTCATACTCCAAATTTGGGCTTTAAAGCCTGTTTCTTGCGTGGGTTGCACACATCGTTTTACTTTACTCACATTAACTATACACTGCTTGGAAAGGTGTGCATGTTTACTTCGTATATTCATTAATCATTTTACAAATTGTTTTCTTTGTATATAAACGAAATGATGGTAAATCCTACAAACGTTGCTTAGTTTGATAGAGAATTACGCAAAGCCTACAAAATTTGATATTATTATTATAATTAATTATCTTTAGTTTAAAAAAAATAGATATTTAAAATTTATTGTACATTTCTATATTATTTACTGTTATTTTCAATGTTATATCTTTATATTGTTTATGTTTTTGTTGCAGATTTCCTATACAGACATAATGTGACATTTGACAATGTTACGACGGAAGTGGAAATACTGGACACGTCGAAGTGTGCTGTAAGTCAATATTTCCATTTGTTTTACTTAATCTACTAATTAATGCCATTAATATATAATTAAAATATTTGTTACTTTTCTGTATATTTCTTATGTAAATATTTATATTTTTTAACATTAACCATAAAATAAATAATAAAAGTATAAAAATTGAATCAAAATTACATAGAAACTTAAAATTGCTCATAATAAGGTAGATTCTAATTTACTATTAATATTTGGAATTCGAATAAGAAAAAAACAAATAAATTATCTATAGAAAATGAGAATAATTTTGTTGAGAGATTGTAGATTGTTGACCATAAAATAAATAATAAAAGTAA